CTTATGAGTGTGGCTCAGATTGTAATCGATGACCTAAAGGCAAAAGTTTCAAGGATAGCAGTATCCTGAGAAAGCCAGCATTTAACAATTGAACATTGTAAACACAGGTGTTATTTTCTAAAGCACTAAGTACTGAGCTAGCACCCATTCTACTGAAATCAATAGAAGCTTTCTTTGAAGTTCAGTGAAAGTATAATGAGCCAGTATAATGAGTTCTTTGAAAAATCTTACTTTTAGTGCCAGTGTGTCTCTTGCGTACACATATGCTGAACCATAGATGTGCATTGCCATTTAAAAAAAAACCCAACTATAATGTCTTCTTGAAATCATCAGATTACAACACCATCTTTTACAAGAGAGTGTACTTTTCTGTACTAATAGCCAGTCAAGTATGTAAAAAAGAGTCATTTTAGGGCATTGAGATGCAGTACCTTTGACTGCAACAACTGCAGATCTTGAAGCAATGTACAAGATTTTTTATCAGATCTGGTTTGATTCAATAAGTGATTTTAATTGCAGCTATCCATAATTATCACAATTCTGTAACCTTTTAATTGTGTCATGATTAATTCCTTAAAAGTATGGCCAAATGAAAGGATCTGCCGCATTTTTTAAGTGAAGACTGTATTCATTCATTCACTCTCACAGAAATTATTTTACTGATGCTTTTGCACTGTTATCTGGAATAGAAATACACCTGAGCTTCGGAAGTCGTTGTGGATGAAATTTCTGAAAACTCATGCTTTTCATGAATGTCAGATTTCATTGTACTTTCATTTTCTCATGTGTAATGTGGATTCAGAGCAAGAATGCTTTTAATGTACTTTATAAATGTTTTCTGCAAGTTTTGCTTAAAAAAAAATGGTGATATATAATATAAAAAATTTTATCCTAAAATAGCAATCAGAATTATAACATATGAGAAAGCTAAAGTATATGCATTTTTAATTCAACTGGTTTGGAATTTCAAAGAGTTTAAAAAGCACTTCTGTTTAGCACAAGTAAGCCTATGCAAAAAGACTGTTGAAGAAGATTTTGCAGACGGTCTTCAGAATTAAGGGATTTAATTTTGTATGCCTCCTAGTACACTCTCTGTATGTGGGCTGAGATACATTTCTCAGTACAACCATAACAACGCTGGTTGGTCTTATCATCATCTACACATCCTACTCACCTGTTTTCTTATGCTAAAAGTGAGATTTTCAAAAAAGCTCATTCTTGACCTAGCCACTACCGTATTAAAGCTCTTACCAAACTCTTATCTTTTGGTAAATACATTGGATGCATTAAGAAACTTTACTCCTGTCACTCCTGTATGATTTAATAGCTTGTAAAAAGCTGCTGTATAAAGTCTTAATGCAAGAATCTGTGTTCCAAATGGTCTGTTGTTGGTATAATTTTTTTTCCTTACCCTCACTGTATTTTAAATGCTGTGTGCATCTTTTTTTGTTTGTAATGCATGATAAAAGAGCACATCATTTAAAATAAAAGAGCGCAACCTTCTCTGTTTCAGGCATTTAAGTTCCTCTGCCAAGTCCTACAGACTTCCTCCAATTTTTTTACAGATGCCCACACAGATAGGAAGAGTAAAAAAAAAATATTAAATGTAATATGAGGTGGGATTTGGTCTCAGAAATAAGAAGAAACAAGTATCAGTGATATTTGGATGTTGTTAAAATTTTATCAGTTCAAATTGGCAACCCTGGAGTCTTCTGTTAATATGATTGAAATGTTGACCTCTAATTGATTTCTAGGGAAAACTCTTAACAATTAAATTCAATTATTATGTTGACCTGCAGTTTAATAGAGAATGACAAACAAATCACTTCATACACATTTTGCCCATTAGAATTCCACTCTCCTCCTCATCTGTGTACAACTCACTTTCTTAAGTCTTTGCAAGATCTTAGACTGTTGAAAAGACAGCTCCTTTAATAGGGAAAAGTGCTCAGTTTGGGGTATTTGTAGTTGTTCTGTTTAAGGTTTTTAGTCGCTTAATTTTGATCAGCATAAGAGCTTTAATAGATTTTCAAATAATCACTAAATTAAACATGCTAAATGCATGCACTGATGTTATTGGGTTTTATCTATCATAGAATCGTATTATCATAGAACAGTTTGGGTTGGAAGGGACCTCAAAGATCATCTAGTTCCACCCCCCTGCCATGGGCAGGGACACCTTCCACTAGACCAGGCTGCTCAAAGCCCCATCCAGCCTGCCCTTGAACACTGCTGGGGAGGGGGCAGCCACAGCTTCTCTGGGCAACCTGTGCCAGTGCCTCACCACCCTCACAGTAAAGAACATCTTCCTAGTATACTTCCAGAGAAAGAGACCAGAACCAGATGGTGATTGCTGTTTTATAATATATGAAGTAGGTACTGTTTTTACTGAACAAATAAAACTGTGTTCTCATCAGTTGTGTTATTTTACATGTAAAAGGGATGGCTTGTGTCTGGAAAACAATATCCAAAAAATATACTCATTAGATTAATAAGACAATGTTAATTTAATTGTAATGGAAATACTTCCTTGTTCTAATGAAAGTCATCATTTTATTAACATTTTAGCATTTAGTGTATTAATGGCATATTATTTCCACACAGAGACATAGCATGTATTTTAACATAAAGTGAGTAACTGAATGATACGAACAGAGTGTGCAGTATGTATACTGTATGCATATGGATATGGATATGGTTCTTGTCCAAATGCTTTGCTGTCTCATTAGTTTTATATTTTCTTTTTAGAAAATGTGTTGAATTCTATAATGTGAGTATAGTGAGAAATAGGGTCTTTGTTCCCACTTACATGTAATAAATCTTTACAGACTATCTTAGAGCAAGTGTGTGCATACATCTGTAAATTAATTGACAGAGTAGCAGGGGAAATGTGTAGTCTAAGCAGTAAAGTGTAATGGTATTGTCTATTTTCCAATTGCTTTTTGGAAAATAAACAAGCAAAATCATGTATGTGCCAAATTTGTATTCATTTAGAATCCAAAACTGGTATTTATTTCTGCATTTGGCTGATCAAAAACATTAGAATTCCTGCTCAACAGAACATAGCTGAGTCCAGAATGAATTAATGTATTGCATATGAATGCTGTAGTTAAAGCAAAAGTGAGGATTTTCTTCATGTGAGACAATAATTAACCACAATGTAGCCAGGCATCAACTGAATTTTTGAAACTGTAAGTTTGATGTGGCGTTAGGAACAGCAGCACTAGAGTTATGAAAGTAAACTCCATTAAAAGGGATGTACGCTATGTCATCTTTCTGTGTTGCGCTTACATGAGGAAAAGGAATACTGACTGACAAGGTTGGTAACTGACCACCCTGATTCTTTAAAGAATATAAAATGATGTTTTCTTACTATGAATACTGAATATTTGTAAAATATGCCAGGCTAATTATTTGTGCATAGTTCATTTCAGTATTCACCATTTGTGGCTGAGCAATTAGATGTTTACCCATTGGGGGAATCTAATTTAATATGTTTTAAAAATTGCTTTGCTGAGTCAGAGCTCAGCTAGTATAACCTTTTTAATTGGAAAATAATGGAGAATAAGTGATGACTGGTGCTTATTGCCACCTTATAATTACTGAATAAAATGTAGGGATATTTAAATGTCGTTCTAATTGAATATCAATCACTGAAATCTTTTTAAATGCCAGATAATATGATCTTTGAACACCAGTGAGCAAAAGAATTTATTCAGAAATAATATACATCTCTGTCATTGTTGAGCTGATTATAGTACTAATCTGTACTAATAAATTAATTTCATTCCCAGCCCTTTCAATAGCCTTTATAAAATGTATATCTGTAACTCAGAAATGCTTATTTTAGTATAACTCTAAATCTTTTTATTAATAATGGAATGAGGAAACTTTTACAATTACTAAATGTGGAAGATTTAGATTATACAAAAAATCTGTAAAAAACAATTAAAAGGACAATTTTCAACTTGAGCAAGTTTATTAATGCTTTCAATCTCCTCTAGGCCATTCTTGTGTTAAGACCATTTTTTTTTTTTAATATAAAGGAGCTATCCAGATACAAAAACGTCATGTAAACAAACGTCTAAGCATGAGGCAACTTTACAGTTTGTGAAATATCAGTGAGAGCAAAGTAATGCTCCCTGGGAAGAAAACAAAAAAATCAAAAAAAAATTTTATAAGGCACAAGGGTATAATTTTAAAAATGGCTGGTAAGGTCAGGGGGGGAAAGGCTGAAGACAGGATCTGATCTCTACTCATGCTGAAGGCAACAGGCTTTTTGCCATTAACTGTGAATGTCATCAAGCTGTTTCATATTACATCAGCAGCAGAAGCTTTTTCGTGTGCTCTCAGAATCCGTCATATATCCAAGTTAGCTAGCCTTAAAAAATTAAAAATCATGTAAAGAGGAATGTTGATTGACTTCCTACTGTAAAGCTTCTTCAGAAGTTTAAACAGAACTTCTGGGGTTTGTTAATAAAACAGGTTTCTTTTCTCTAACCTGAAAATTGATCAAAGAGTCAGTGTATATATAGCACTGGCTAGCAAGTGTCAGTGCTAACTAATGAGTGGTAGTTATTAGTTCTTACTATTAAATTACATTAGCTAACATTAACTAACACAGTGCTGCACTGGCGTGTCATGCAAGTTTACAAATGAAAAAAATGTTGCAAAATAAAAGACTGTCTGCAAAGTTTAAATCAGACTGAGAGATCAAGTAAACAGATAGCTTTTGAAACAGTCAAATTTGGGTTTGTTTGCTCTGTGTTACATTTTGTAAAGGGATAGTTTCCAAGAATATGGTATTTATTTTGTAGAGGAGTGACTTGAAATACTGACTTACAGTCAGTAGTCTTGAACAATTTTAAAATGTAATAATATAAAGCAGTACCAGTGTTGCCAGCTGAGTCTTCCAACACAAAAAAATGCATAAAATATTATTTTTATATGATAAATCATGATAATGGTTGTTCTCTCAAAAATCATACTTTTTTTTCCAGTCTAAAACATATATGTGCAGTTGGCAAGGGGATACCCTGTGTTTCACAGTTGACTTTGCTCTGGGATTTACCTGTTTTGACAGTAAAACAAAGGTAAGAGGAAAAAGAAGAGAAAACATAACTGTTTCGTTTTACTGTTAATGAAGTTATCAGTAACTGTAATTTTTTATGTTGATCAGTATCTAATTTATTATCTTGATATTGAATATTTCTTCCTCAAACATACTATACTTTTTATTTATATAGGACTACTGAAATGTAGTAAGTTTGGGACTTGAAAGGGGCAATTATATTTGTGCCTTAGCATGTAAAGCTAAATCTTGGAGAAAAGTATAAAAAGAGTAGTTTCCTTTTCAAGTAATAGAAGCAAAGAAAGGTTATATGTAGGAGAGAACTTGGTTTCTTATAATGATGGAAGGTCAAGATTTTTGAAAGATTACCAGCCATGAAAAAAATGAAGTGCACCTGATTCTGTTTGCTTTGAAGCTAGAGATATAAAGTAGGATTAATTATTCTTCCATCATAAGAAATTTAGGCCATGTCTAAAATAAACAGAACAAGGACAAATGCATTTCAAAGTCATAATCTATAAGATTAAACTCACTTATCTTGCAGAGCAGCGCTACAGGGGATGGTTTATGATACATGAAAACTTCCAAGCCCAGTCTATAATTCTATTTTATATATAATTTAGTGATACTTTAATTTAAATTATTCTAAATGGATTTGTACATTTCTTTGCCGGTAGAAGTAAACGTACATACATACAAAAAATGTTTCTGCATTAATACATCTATACAGTAGAAGGTCTGTCCTCTGAAATATGGTCTTCAACTCCAAACTGAAAGGATTATTTAAATACATATTGAAGAAATTTAGTCAGTCATTCTGAGTTAAGAGGAAACATACTGCAATTTGAAACTTTGACACAGGATCTAGTTTTCGTGTGTTGGGTCAAAATGCACAAATTTCTTGAAATATTTGTACAAAGAAATAATGATCAAGTTCATTGTTATTTGAAAATTTAGACTAGTCAAATTAAGTGTGCTATCCTATGAGGTAGCATAAAATTTCAGGAAATACGTTTGCATATCTTTCTGTGCCTCAGGTGAACTGAATTCTGAAATTGTGCTTTTTGCACGGTTGTACAGATTCTGTATGTAGCCGCAAATTAACTATAAAAAGTAACCTTGTTATTTTGGACTATAGAAAATGTTTCTTTTAAATGTGAAGACCGATTGGGTGGACTCCCACCTTGAAAATTATAAACTTCTCAATATTGATAGGACATTGAGCTGCAGTGCCTACATTCGGTATTGATGATGAGGAGGATTTAGATCAACCTTTGTTGCTTACCTAAGAAGAAATACAGAATAACATCAGATAGATTGATTCTGTTGTTAAACTGCAAAAATTCTGGAGAGCTCAAGTACATTTATTGTTCATCTGTGGAAGAGATGGAGATGTCCTCTGCATACTCAAGCCTGAGTGAGGCAGTAATGGGTGGCTTCCGCAGTTCGTCTTGCGTCCCATAATTGGCAGCTGGAGTTGACTCTGTTGCCCTACACTCATAGGTTTTTCAGGATATTTCCTATGAACACTGAATAGATTTTTGAAGTGGTCAAGCAATTAACAGTTCATTAAGGACACAGCAGTTTTGCTGAAAAAATTATTTTTTCTTCAAGGTAATGAATTTCAAATTAAAGTCACCTATGGATGCAAAGAATGCTCTTACACTACAGCAGGTGTTCATACAGGCTTATTAAAATAAAGGCCAGCCCCCCGTCTGCTCTACGACTGTAAGACTGGATCTCAAATTGTGGGCAACCAGCTCATGTACTCATTAAAAAAAGTCTGGAAAAATAAAGAAGTGTCTTCTTATTACAAATAACAAAAAAAAAAAAAAAAAAAGGCAAGAATTTTGCTTAGGAGTGTGGTGGTTTGACCCTGGATGGATGGCAGGTGCCCACCAAAGCCAGTCTATCACTCCCTCTCCTCAACTGGACAGGGGAGAGAAAATATAACCAGAGGCTTGTGGGTCAAGATAAGGACAGGGAGATCACTCAGCTGTTACTGTCACAAGCAAAACTGACTCGACCTGGGGAAAATTAATTTAATTCATTACCAATCAAATCAGAGTAGGGTAATGAGGAATAAAACCAAACCGTAAAACACCTTCCGCTAACTACTCCCTTCTTCCCAGGCTTAACTTTACTCCTGATTTTCTCTGCCTCCTCCCTCCAAGTGGTGCAGGGTGACAGGGAATCGGAATTGTGGTCAGTTCATCACAAGTTGTTTCTGCTGCTCCTTCCTCCTCAGGGGGAGGACTCCTCACACTCTTCCCCTGCTCCTGTGTGGGGTCCCACCAATGGGAGACAGTCCTCCATGATTTCTTCAGCATGAGTCCTTCCCACGGGCTACAGTTCTTCACAACCCTCCACTGTGGGTCCCTTCCATGGGGTGCAGTCCTTCAGGCACAGACTGCTCCAGCATGAGTCGCCCACGGGGTCATAAGTCCTGCCAGCAAACCTGCTCCAACGTGGGCTTCTCTCTCCATGGGGCCACAGGTCCTGCCAAGAGCTTGCTCCAGCGTGAGCTTTCCATGGGGTCACAACCTCCTTTGAACACACCCACCTGCTCTGGTGTGGGGTCCTCCACAGACTGCAGGTGGATATCTGTTCCACCATTAACCTCCATGGACTGCAGGCAGACAGCCTGCCTCACCATGGTCTTCACCATGGGTTGCAGGGGAATCTCTGCTCCAATGTCTGGAGCACATCCTCCCCCTCCTTCTTCACTGACCCTGGTGCCTACAGAGTTGTTGCTTTCACATGTTCTCACTACGCTCTCCAGCTGCTGTTCTGCCCCAGATTAGGGTTTTTTTTCCCCTTAAATATGTTATCCCAGAGGCACTACCCGTCACTGATGGGCTCAGCCTTGGCCAGCATGGGCTCTGTCAGACATGGGGGAAGCTTCCAGCAGCTTCTCACAGAAGCCACCCCTGTAGCCTCCCCGCTACCAAAATCTTGCTATGGAAATGCAAGACAAGGAGTTTAAGTGTCTTTTGGAAAGCTATTTTCTAGAACAGTTTTGGGGGATTCTTAAGTTTACTTGAAATAATTGCTTCATTTGTTACATGTTCTGTTCTACAGTCATCATGGGCTTAACTCATTCAGCTTTTACCATTTTGGGCCCATCACAGAGATACTCTTGTGGTCTGCAGCTGCTTTACATCTGATTAGAGACATTCTTTTTATCTTGTTGGTTTGGTTGGTTCATCTTCCCCACCTTGTGTGTCCAGCCGCTCACCCAATATAAAGGGATCCCAAACTGCATTTTCTTCTCCCTTCCAGAGCCATCTTCTCTTCCACTCAGTATCAGCTGTTGAGAGAGATGATGACTCCAGCAATGCCTATTATTACTAAATTGTTCCTAAGTTCTTGTTTCCATCTCCATCGTAGGGGTTTTATAGCAAACATTCATCTTTCCTATTTAGATTCAAATTAATTTAATCGTTGAATACTTTTCAGGTAGTCTAATTAGGCCCTCTGGACCCAGTTAAAATCTGTTCATGAATGCAAAGTTTAAGCACCGTCACAATGCTGTGGAATATTTGGATTTTTCTTCATCTGTTATATTTGTCTAAGAAGTCACTGACATTTATGTCTACAGGGAACCAGGAGATGGAATCAGGCTTTTTGTGCCTTCTGTAAACACTTTTTTATTTATAGGGCATTCCCTTTCAAATGATGAGTAGGGTTCTGAAAACCACTGGCAGCACAGGTCTACATGAAAAAAAAAATAAAAATTTTGCAATGAGGTATATTGGAAAACGGAATATAGCAAACTTTTTCCTGTGCTTTTGAAATAGCCTTCAAAGTATTTAAGTTCTCTTTCCTCAGTGGTGTCAAGGGACCGGATCACATATCAACATAGATTTTTCATTATTATAGCCATTAAGGAAACATCAGCAGGAAATGCAAGCTGCTACCTTGTGTTTTTTTAAACTTATGCATTTTCAGGTGATCAATACCGAACATTCAAATAAATACAGAAAATCACATTGGTTTCAAAAATAATTTCACAGTAATTGTTTCTAAAGAGTGTCTCCATAAGTATCAGAACATACCTCTTGATCTAGGATTTGCCATTGGTAGTAAGAGGCCACATATAAACCTGTAGAAGGCGAAGAAGCCTAGGATTCTTACATATTTTACAAACAACTGTGTAATATAGAATATTTTTTGTGGTTTGCAAGAATACATTCAATAATATTTTTGCATTTCTGTAGCTTGTTTTATCTGAGGATTTCAAACCACGTTACACACATCAGCTTTGCAACATCTATGTAAGACATTATTATCTATGTTATGCAGATAAGCCAGCTGAAATATGAAAGATCGAGATATGGTATGGAATTGTGTTCATAGTGAAACTGATACAAATATCCTCATAGATCTTTCTAGAATTAAGCTTTTGCCGTGGATTTTGATATTATGGAGGCAACTAGAACATCTACGTTTCAGAGAATTTCTAAATAATTGTTTAATTAGTGAATATTAATATTACATCTTTTACTTTCATGTATGATACAGAGCTGTTAATTTTATTTGCTCTGCAACCATCCTGTTATCATGCACTATGTTTACTGCCCTAATGCTTTATCTAAACATAAACATCAATCTATAGTTCTAGGTAAAAGCGTGTAACAGAGCCCTTAATCAAATTTATTTCTCTTTAGAACGTACTGTGGAGGTTTAAATTCTCTCAGCTCAAAGGTTCCTCAGATGATGGGAAAACAAGAGTAAAGCTGCTTTTTCAGAATCTAGAAACCAAACAGATTGAGACAAAGGTAAGCAACGTCCTCCTTCTCGCTTTAGTAAAAAATTAAATGGAATTACTATTAAGGCATCAAAAATTCCATTTACTACTGCACATGCATATGATGAACTCCACATCATAGTTTGGCTTTTTTTCATATTCTCTAGAAACTCCATAATAAACAGAAGTGATGTAGTAACTATAGAGTTATCACGCTATTTCTACAAGACTGATACTGTTGTGTTATGATGTTTTACTTCCTCAGAAAGATTTCTGTGAAGTTGTTTAGTCAACCTAGAATAGATATAATATCTAAAAGCTTATTCTAAAAGGATAAAGGAAAAACTATTTGAATGCTAAATACATCTTTAAGCTGCTATATAGTACACTTAAAATTTTAAGCAAATATGTGCCTAAGGTTTACCCCTAAAATAAATGATTATGTAACATTTATTAGCTTAAAAAGGGGAATATTCTTACAAGAGGCCAAACAATTCCTGAAATCTATTGGTTCTACTGTGATTTAAGAGCAATCAGTGCTTTTCAGGATCTGGAATTAAGCTGTGGAGACATCCAGTCACTACTATAGATGAGATATTACTGATGTCTCTTTCTTTTCGCTGTAGCAAACATAAGATAAAATTGTGAAACTTAGAATTCAAATTCTCAACTGAACTTCAGCAGTTTCTAATTCAGTATTGTAGTTTCAATCGTCATCTGAAGGTTTGGCTGTAATGCCTTAATCTGCGCTGATTCTGCCCTGTGATCCCAAGCTTGATGCTGAATAAATAAATAAAAAGATAATTTTTCAATCATAAAGTTTTAAAAAGAATGAGGAGAACTTTGTTGTGATATGACAGAGAAGAGGAAGGTAAGAGTGAGATTGGGATTTGATGGACAAAAGGCAATGAAAACAGTAGAAAAATATCTGAAGATCTATGAAAATTCTCAAATACTCTTACCTGGGGCCGTACAGGTCGGAGTCACTTATAAGGTGATACTTTTCTATAGTGACTACAGACAGAATCACAGAATGGCAGGGGTTGGAAGGGACCTTTGGAGATCATCTAGTCCAACCCCCCTGCTAAAGCAGGTTCACCTACAGCAGGTTGCACAGGATCGCATCCAGGCAGGTTTTGAGTATGTCCAGGGAAGGAGACTCCACAACCTCTCTGGGCAGCCTGTTCCAGTGCTCTGTCACCCTCAATGTAAAAAAGTTTTTCCTCTTGTTGAGGCAGAACTTCCTGTGCTCCAGTTTGTGCCCGTTGCCCCTTGGCCTGAGAATGAGCTGTTCCATCACCTTTCCAGGGATGGAGGTGAGGCTGACTGGTCTGTAGTTACCCAGATCCTCCTTTTTGCCCTTTTTGAAGACTGGAGTGACATTGGCTTTCCTCCAGTCCTCAGGCACCTAACACAAAGGTTATACATTACTATCCTTCTAATGTTTAAAAAAAGTTTTAAGAAGAAAATCTCTTACCTTCCTTATCTATCATAAATTTACAACAAATGCAGTATGTCTTTCTTTGTACATCTATATTAGTAAATTATTTCATATTTCATCAGCAAACTTAACCTGAGTCATCTGTTGGCTCTACTGTAAAAGATATTTTAATATCTGCTACGAAACATACAATACTAAAATAACGACTGTAGTAGCAGGTCATTTCCACTTAATTTCTCACAGTACTCCTTGGAGACAGAAAAGGACTATTATCATCATTTTATACATGATCATGTGTTGGAGAGAGCTCACGTAACTTGTTTCAGGTCAGACAGAAAGATTGTACTGGTGCAAAAACCATAATCTGAATCTCTGAATCTATGTATTAAATCATTAGATAATCCATGTGTGTGATTGGTCAAGGACTCTGATTCCATTGCTTTAATACTGGATCATTCCTCTTTCTACTATAATAAACAAACTGATTTTTTAAATTTGATTTTGTTTTTCATTTCTGTTCTCACTTCAATTGTTTTTTTATTTGTTTTACCTGTATTTTACTCCTTAGATAGAAAAAAATATAAATTTTAGCATTTTTATGAAAAATTTATTGTCTTTGAAATAATGATAGAAGTGGGTCCTAATGATAACTTCACAGCAAGTTTTGTCCAGGGGACAGATTTGTTAACACATTAAAAATTACTCTTTTGCATAGCTGTAATGAAAGCACCTTGTAGTTGGCAAAGTTTTCATGAATATGTGAGGTACCTTGAAATTATCAGATGGAAGATGATACATGATTGTTTCATACAGAATTTTATGTATGTACATAAATGTACGTATGTGTTGTAAATGTTGAAAGAGCCCAGGAAAAGCTCATTGAAGGCCAGAGGAAAGGCTGATACCAAATAGCTGAGGTTTTACCATGATTTCAGTGACTATACTTTGCACCACTGCCTCTGCACAGTGCAGTGTACCCTAGGATTTCCCTAGTGTACTAGGATTTCACATTAAATGGGACTGGGGTACAGCTGTGCAGCCCCTTCACTTCAGATGGGTGGTATATATGTTCAAGTATACACCCAGTATCTAAATGGTTTTATTTCTTAGACTTCAGAATTGCAGACTAGTTAGGAAATAACCAACACTAATACCCGTAGTATAGTACTGTATCTGCCTCAGCTTATTGTACTGGAAGAGATTTCATAGAGCCAGATGGTGCTGAACAGTGAAATGCAGCCAATAATAAACAGAAAATGTCATCAAATAACAGAAGTTTCATTTTTCATGACTAAATGAGCCACTATGTGTGAAATAAAGCTTGATACAGAGGACTTAAGATTACTTGGCAGTAAACGGTATAGCTATAGTTGCGAAAGTATTTTCCAAATTATGTCTAATTTTATGTGCTTATAAATTCATGGCCAAAAAATGTCACATTTGGGAATTCTGGGTTTGCATCTTGATGACTAGTTAAAGAGGATGTTTTTTCTCCTTCTATAAATTTTAAACCAAGTGCTTCTTCCTGCACACTTCAGTTTTAGGTGAAGAACAATACATTTTTCCATTTAAAAAGTTTTCTGTTCGAAGGATAAGGCCTAGATTCCTGTCAGTTATTTCTCCTTCAGGTCCTTCATATTCCCTACATCTTCTCCTCATAGTTTCCCACTTCAGTACTTATCTGAACTTGCCCTGCCTTTAATACTTGCAATAATAACTCCACTTTGACTCCTTGAAATCCCCCACAAGTCATTGCAATGCATTCCTATTACTGCCAAGTCCAAATATATTTTTATCCAGCCTGATAATGGGGAAAAAGTTGTTGCAGCTGGTTTGTAGGTGTGTGTGTATTATCTGGTTAGATAACTCATGTACAATGGGTGGCCAAGGGACCCCTGCCCCGGCTGCTGGTTAAGGCAGGAATGGATGATGCTGTCCCTGCCTTCACTTCCTTGCAGGGTGGTAACAGGACCTCCCAAACCCTGCCAACAACTTGTGCCACGCTTCTAGAAATTCAACTCCACGCACACATGTGTGATTTCATGACTTCATTTCTGTAGGAAATCAAGAAATTTTTTTAGCAGAGGCTTAAAAATTCTGAAATTGCAACAAAGCCTGTAGATGGATCTATGTGAAGGAGTAGCTCTATGACTGTTTTGCAAGGAGGAGGAGAGTGTCTGATTATGGATTCCTGGATTGTGGCATCAATGTGGAGTTTGCATGGGCTGTGGTCAATTCTTCCTTGGATCAGCAGTTTGGAATTCTTTGAGCTGGAGATGCCTATTTGTGTCCCTTTGGTGCGGGGGTCTTAAACTTCTGTGCTCTTCAGCCAGATGGAGCATATTGACGTCACGTGCATCTCTTACACATAAGTTCATATGCAAAAAGATACTTGCTTTTGTCTTTCTTGACAGTTACAACTTGAAAGAAAAAAGACAAAAGCAAGAAGGAAAATAATTGATAGTAGAAAAATAACAAGATTATTAAATAAACACCAAGATTATTAAATAAATAAGTTGCAGTTATGGAGAGAATATTAAAGTGATAGTAAACTGTCAAGGTGGATTTTTGAAAAGAGGCTATAGCAAAGTTGTCACATTTCTGGTTTATGACAGGCTAACTACTCTGGAGGAAACCAATACATGTGATCTGTCTCGACTTTATTAAGGCTTAAACGTAGTCCCACATGATGTTCTCATAAATAATTTTGGTAAATAGTACATAAGTTACCATAAAAAAATTATGAGAAATTGAAAAAGAAATTCTAAAAGTAGATTCCATCATTTACTTGCAAAATGGAAAAATATAACTTATCCAATTTTGCCTGATCTAAATTCACACCTCTTTAATTTTCTACCTGGTGGAAGTTTGAAGCTGGAGCATGCTCAGTGAAAATTGTTTTCATATAATGTAAATTTTCCAATTCATAAATGTGAGATTTCACAGGAATAGTAAAAAGCCAACCCCCTGATGCAAAATTCCTCTTCCTGCCAAATTTCTGAGTCTCAGGAATGAGTAAACCATTCTGGCTAAATTTTTTTTTTAAAAGTAATCTGTTGTGGAAAACTAGTGTGGTAAATATCAGTCAAAACGTTTTATATTTGGCAAAGTTGTATATAGCTTATGTACCTGAACACAGGATCCAGTACTGAGAAATTACGACTAGTCCTAACAATAGTATATATTCTTAGCCAACATGACATGTACTCTGAATTTTCAAGGCTACTTTAAAAAAAAAAAAAAAAAAAAAAGTAATATTACTAGTTCCAGGATTGTATTGATGATTTATCTCCCTTAGCTAATCTGTAGCTACCTGAAAGGTAAGACTTTCCAAGTGTATTTTAACTAAGAATTTCCTTTTTTCCTCATTTTTTTTTCCTTTTATACTCAATGGAAAAGAAAAGGTGGAATTTTATTTTAACAATTCATTCATCATAAGAATAGAAAGAGAGTTTATTTTTCTTTCTTCACTACATTTGCTCTTTTACTAACTTGGTCTCAAATATTTCGCTGAATAAAGAAATCATAGTATCGCTAAACTATTGTGAGCCATATTGAAGCTTCTGCTAAATGTTGCTGGTCTCATACAC